GCTCCATAGTAGCTAGATTACTGTTAGTATACAAGAGATTGTAAAGTTCACTCGACAACTCTCTTAGATAATAATGAGCTTCCCTTGAGGGCGATTAAAGTTGGGCAGCATCGACACGCCCGATGAGTTATCTGTTTACCTCAAGGGAAAATTAAGGAGGAACATATAGCTCAGGCGACATCAAATACAACTGCAAAGACGAAGAGAAAATGAAACTAAGCTCGGAGTCTGATATGATTTAGGCATGTAGAGAGCCTATTATATCTGAGTAGGGTGCAGATGTGTTCGCACACGCTATGCCAGTGCAAGCGAAGGCTTCATCAAGAAGTGCTAAAAACGTATGTGTTCTATTTGCCATGCATATTTCTGTGGAAAGAATGCTCCATAATAATCCATACTTGATGAGGAAGAAGTTTTTGGATCTCTAGAATTATGGTCTACTATGATATTAGTACTGCTCTAATAATAGACCTAGTCCTAAAATTGTAGACTTGTCATGACATAACTGCCTAATCCATAAGGTCTTACTTGGAAGTCACATTATCATCTATACCAATTCATAGTACCGTAACAACCACCAATACATTATGTAGAACAAGCTTAGGCTAGAGATAGAACAATATATTTAATATGAATAAAAGATATAAGATAACATTCAACAGGGACCACGCCTGCAAGCTCTTTTCCCGCCTCCTCCACCGTTGGGTTTTTCCCAATGTTAAATGTTGAATATCCATTTCGCCAATTGTCTCGTGTTTAGCTTTGATGATTGAGTGGTTAGGGCACAATGCCACTACAGATCTGTGACTTTCAACTTCGACCGTAGAAACTTTATCTCGAAGTTCGTATATGTGCGAGTCTTGGGTAATAATTATATCACAAGTTGTGTAAGTAAGATTTTTGAGGAGCTTGAAGCCCTCTGAAAAAGAGGGCTTCAAGTCTCAAAATATGAGATCGAGAGCGACACTCATTAAGTCAGTCATATGCATTTAGCGCAAGAATACCCGTTGTACTCTACGACATATCTCATGCATATCTTGTAAAAAATGAATGTAGATTCAATTTGAAAGAATTTACGATGCATGAAGTTAGGCAATTTCCGCATTTCAAGTGCTTTAGTCTAGATGTTTAGAAAAGTTCAGACTGCAAACATTTCTATGTCAATCATTGGTATAAACCAGTTGCAACACCACAAGCTAATTATCAACCCTAGCAAATGGAGGTTAGTGGACGGAACAAGTAAATTATCTGTTTATAGAAGCCCATTTTCTGATTTTAGATTATGCCCAATCATAGTTAAACATATGGTTGAACCATTTTTCAAAATATCCTAAGAAGGACAACAAAAATTTACTTCCAAATGGTGACTGCATATTAATACGGAAACCACTCTCGATCGTCATCTTTCGTCACATATCCACGACCTGACAGCTATTTTAAAATGCTTGAATGCTTTCTCGAAGACCGACCAGATTAAAGCACATAATCAAATTCTCATGGCTGCGGATGACATCTCAAAATCAGTTTTCATCACTCCCCTCAGTGAGTGTCTCTTGGTTTGAGAAATTCTGCACAAACGTTCCAGAGTTTTATCGGCGATGTCCTTCGAAGTCTCAACTTCGTATACACATATGTATATGATTTCTTTATTGCAAGTCCGTACAGGGAATCTTATCTCCAGAGTCTGGATCGTGTTTTCGAACGAGTGTGAGAACAATACATTCATGTAAGTATTCAGAAATTTCCATTCGAAACCGAATCCCTGAACTTCCTCGAACATAATATTGATGCTTAACGCATGCACTCTCAGCAAAGCAAAGTGGCTGCCATTCTGGATTACCTAAAATCGACCACAGTCAAGTAAATCCTTATGTATAATGAGCTGGCGAATATTCTCTGGCGGATCAAACCAAGCTGTGCGTGTCATGAGACCCTAATGGACCACCTACGCTCAACTTCGAGAACCATAAATTTGTACAACAATGAGAGGAATACGTTCATCACAGGTTAGGAAGTTATTCCAAAACAATCATTGACATTTGCTCCTTACTCACCTTTACACAAGTACTCCCCTAGAGTTTACTTCAAATGTATAACACAGTCATGGTGCAAACAATATTGTCATAGACCCCTTGTATCGTGTAACTTCCTTGAACAGATTTCAGAGGACTAACTCATTTAAATCCACCAGCTTCAAAGAGAAGAAACCTATTTTCAACGAGAGATGTCCTCGAAAACCATGAAACTCTGTATAAAACAGATGGAAACAGGTAAGGTGACTTCACTATGTGAAAAATCTACGGATAAGGATCATTTAATCGTGCTGAAACAGTTTCAATGCAAAGTCTTCCATTCCTTGCACAAATGCACTCGTTCAGGTTTTCGAGGAACTATAAAGCTCATCGCAAACCAGTTCGTTGACCTGGTACGAATAAAGACGTGAGGGAGTGGGCACACTCTTGTGTAAGCTGTCAGAAATCTAAGGTGATCGGACACAACAAATGTTCTATAGGCTCTTTCAAAACTCCCAACGTTGGTTTTGACCATGTTCATCATGATTGGATATGACCCTTACCAGATTCAAATGGACACTCTTCCCTCTTGACGTGTGTAGACCCTTTATACATGATGCCTAGAGGTAGTATTTATAGAGGACATTACTGCTAAAATAGTGACATGCGCCTTCGTCAAACGTTGAATAACAAAATACGGCTGCTATTCAACTGTCACTCTAGTCTGTGAACTCCAGTTCAAATCTGGACTTTTTCGTTTCCTTACTACGTTACTAGGAACCATGAGATCTTGGTAACCCTCGTGCTATTGATAGAAGAAACCAGACAAGTAGTGAATAGGTCTTTATTTCGATCTTAGCGCAGTCACAATGGAGCGTGGGACTATTCGTTCAGACAAACAAAGCCTCTAAACATTCAATATAAGATAACAGGAAATATAACGCCTATGCAAAATAAGGAAGTGAATGAATACTTGACCTGTACTGTCTTGGCATATGCTTGGTTGTTTGAGGTCAACTCTTAACCAACCAATCTATGCTGTTACAAGTTTCCAAACGACCATCTATCACTTACGAGCCATCGAGTTTGGAGAGTGATTTCACGGACCATTGACAGCTTCATTTCCAGCTGCAAACGTTGCACAGTGGACTAACGCACTTCCACTAGTGTCACTCTATATTCGCGATGTAGTGAAAGCTGATAATGGATACAATAAGGCGCAACTCGTTAACGGAAATATACTTCAACGCTCTGTAGAGCTCTTGAACACTTCGTCTTTTTCGGTGTATGTGGATGCAATCTCCTTTGCGAGCTAATGAAGGCTAACTTCCAAATGACTGCGAATAACCAATGTTTTCGTGCATCTCCGCATGTCTTCGTTCCTTTTTTATTTACCAGATGTCAAAATGGACATTTTCGCTAATAGTTGCTTTTATTTTCATTCTTTTTATATTATCACGCCAATAAAAAATGAGCATTTTTCTTCCATTATTCTCATATAAGTGTAAATCGTATCTTATAAATAATATCCAGAACACCATTCACTATCAAATATTTTCACGCTATCGCATGGTTTATATGAGCATATATATCGGGTTTTTTTCCCATGTTTTGATTCCTTATGCGGGTATGTGTGTATCACGTAATGCACTTATGCCTTCATTTTTCCCTTCCAGAAAGAATGGAAATGATAAAAAGAGCCGAAAAAATACAATGAATCGAAATTTTAATTGTAAATTTTACGTTGTTGTGCTGAACCACATGGCTTCTTGCAGCAAAGAAAGACCATTAGGCACAGCTGAAAATAGTAACCTATCAGAGGAATGTTTACTAAACTTTCAGCTGGCCATGCTGTAGGAACATCACTACCCGATTAGTGGGCGTTAAGCGTAGCGGTAAGCAAATCCCCAAAATAAACAGTCCTGTGGGCCTTCAACATATAAGTTCTACTGGACACATCCTAGCTAGAGAAGTTTGGTCATGCATCTACACAAAACCATGAGCGTGTATGCCATGTTATGCAGTACTTGCAATTGTAAGCTGGCTTAAATCAAGCGTCTCTCAAAACATCGGAAACTTTTCGAACACATCTTCGAACTTGATGATGTCACAGGTATTCAGTGTTTGACAACGCTTCTACCAGTAACACCTTCTAATATATTTCGTTCCCGCCCAGAGAAATCAAAAGACAGAGTCGAGGAGATCGGAAGAGTATATTAGGCGATGACCAATATATCGGAATTCTCTGATCTAATCTGGCTAGCGATTGCGGTTGATGTTGAGCACGGCGTTACCACACGTGATCTGGTGCGGATGCCTGACCGAGCGCCTTCAGCTAGGTGAGTCCACTAAAACATATGGTCAGCATCCAATGTCGAAAACTTAGTGCTATTTATTTTGGGGATTTATTTACCGCTACAAACTCATTCATCCCTGAATTCTGACTTCAGTGGGTTTCCATATTTCGATACAAAGGTGGTACGGTGTGGTGTTTGAACGAACTAATAATACCTTTGTACTTGTTGAATGCTCGATTTCGAAATCCAAATACAATACATCCGTTTGTGCTTGTGTCTCACTTCTAAATTCAATTGCGTTATTTCTGGGACTCTTAGTTCATACTACAATTCAAATAATTCAAAACGTTATATACGGAGAGGAGCGTCGTCAGAACTTGTGAAGATGACACAGGTATTTGGAGTTTGACAACGCTTCTACCAGTAACACCTTCGAATATGAATCGTACCCACCAAGTGAAATCAAAAGGCAGAAGCGAGGAGGTTCGAAGATATATTTGATAGGCCATAAATATATTAAAACATATGGTCAGCATCCAATGTCGAAAACTTAGTGCTATTTATTTTGGGGATTTATTTACCGCTACAAACTCATTCATCCCTGAATTCTGACTTCAGTGGGTTTCCATATTTCGATACAAAGGTGGTACGGTGTGGTGTTTGAACGAACTAATAATACCTTTGTACTTGTTGAATGCTCGATTTCGAAATCCAAATACAATACATCCGTTTGTGCTTGTGTCTCACTTCTAAATTCAATTGCGTTATTTCTGGGACTCTTAGTTCATACTACAATTCAAATAATTCAAAACATTATATTGGCGTCGCGATGGGGCCTGTAATGGAAAAGTTAGATATTCATTCAACTTCGGAAGCTTTTGAAGATTACTTTGAAAGGTTCGAAATCTGGGCTATGACCAAGAAAGATGATGAGGATGTTAATATTGCGGCACATTTCCTCACATTCATTGGAAAAGAAGCATACAGCTTATTAAGAATTCTGACTATGCCGGAAAAGCCTATCTCGCTTCCTTATACAACTCTCAAGGAACTGCTGCTAGACTGTGTTAATTATACAAATTTCGAATGCGGTAAAGGAGGAAGATCTCGTAAAATGATTCATGAGGATATAAAAAATTCTACTACATTACTACGTCATCCTGACCCAGTGCATACTCAATTTTATGCAGATAATTCATTGAGGAGTTGCGATGCAGTCCACGAGGATGGGGACAAGTTTGGTCAATATTTGTTCTCTGGCAAGTTCCATTCTTCTAATTCATGTAAATTTCGTAATTCTAAGTGCTTTAAATGTGGTGATATTGAACATATTCAGTCAGTCTGTAATACTAATGTTCATCTGATTGCAACTAATATTAAGACTTGTAATTCTGATTCTACTGAGTCGAGTATTCCTGATGATCATTTATCTTTATCAACGATTTCAAAGGACAGTGTAGAGTCATATGACAGTTCAGAGTTAAATGAAATCCAGAATTCTTGTGAGACAACAGTTCCTAATCAACCGATTTATCAGAATTCTCATGCTATTGTACCAGGCATGACTTTTCCTAATGATTCACAAATATCTAATGAAATTACTTGCAATTCTGAGGAAAATATGTTAAATGAACCTAATCATGATCGGAAACCTGATGTGGTTTGGTTAGATGCTGATTTTTCTAACGATCCTACACGCTGCAAGGAGAGTCCTAATGAATTTCATAAGAATATTTCAGAAGAATCAAATCCTGATGTCATATCATATATTACCTATCTTCATAATGCATTTGATCCTTGTGGAAAACCTGCTCAATGCGAAGCACAAGTACTAAATGACCTCGAGTTTGATTACATTTCGGATGATTTCATATCAACTGCTGTTTACCCTTATCACAAAAACAGTTCTAATGTTTACTCTAAACAATGTGAGAAATATGTTTTAAATGAAGCCACATTATTCATAACTTGGGGATATAAAGATCCAACATTATTTCGTGGGGAGGATAGTGTTGAAAAATCTATGGTTTGAATTCGAGATAATAATGATTTCACTACAAAGGCGACTTGCTGGTTGTATACAATCCCAGGTGAGTCTGTTCCGATTTCGTTTGTTAATTCCAATACTAATGAGCACTTTCTAGATACTACAAAGTTTCTATCCAATAAATTGTCGGACAGACTCAGGATGAACTTAAGAAGAAGACGTAAAACCGATTACAAACACTTATACTTCTATTTAAGCTGTGGCGGATGTGGTGTTTGAACGAACTAATAATACCTTTGTACTTGTTGAATGCTCGATTTCGAATTCCAAATACAATACATCCGTTTGTGCTTGTGTCTCACTTCTAAATTCAATTGCGTTATTTCTGGGACTCTTAGTTCATACTACAATTCAAATAATTCAAAACGTTATATACGGAGAGGAGCGTCGTCAGAACTTGTGAAGATGACACAGGTATTTGGAGTTTGACAACGCTTCTACCAGTAACACCTTCGAATATGAATCGTACCCACCAAGTGAAATCAAAAGGCAGAAGCGAGGAGGTTCGAAGATATATTTGATAGGCCATAAATATATTAAAACATATGGTCAGCATCCAATGTCGAAAACTTACAGAGCTATTTATTTTGGGGATTTATTTACCGCAACAGATCACTCCCCCCTAGTTGGGTAGTGATGACCCAAAGACGTGGCCAGCCAGAAGTTCAAACCCAACAAGTTTTGTCATCGGTAAACACTCTTTAGCAGCGTCTGGTCGTCTTTCCTTACTATAAGGGACCATGAAATACAATATAGTATGAAAATAATGTACAATGAAAATTTTGGTCCGTCATAAACCCCATTGTTCTTTTTATCATCTTTTCCAGCCGTGCTGGAAAAGAAAAAAAGAATATGTAAGTGCATGTCGAAATAAACTCGTACGCGCTTCAAGACACAAAATATGCGAAAAAAGGTTGATAACGTGACAGCCATTTTTACAAAATGTTTTTTTGTTTTGTTATTTTTTGAAAATTTTTTTAATACACACATTAGCCAAATAATAAATATATATAAATATAAGCATACAAAATTGATTTTTTAAAATATATTATACCATGGAAAATCGAGATAAAACAAAATGTTAACTGGCGTCTTACTTGCAATAGTCATTTAAATGTCCTGGAAATCTTACTCTTCTTCCAGAACGCGTTGTTTTAAGTATATTTTCAGATACTGTCGAAGTATCATCGTCCGTGTTGGTTGTCGGATGAGGTATTACAAGTGTCGGAGTCGTGTTGTTCGATTGTACCGAAGGAAAATCGACGTAGATAGGATTTCCTTCTAAATACGCTGCTTTGAGGCGATCGATGCTTATGCTATCGTTGGTTCAGTTCTTATCGATTATATAGTACTTAGGTTCGCGTTCAACAACTTTGAAAGGTCCTTCGTCTGCTGATTCGAATGGTCGTCTATGCGAGTCTTGACGTACGTAGACGTGTGTATTATATCGTAAGTCAGGTTGAACAAAAGCATCAGTTGATCGAGGTCGAGTGGAAACAGGTAAGTGGTTTATGGTCAGTGAAAAGGGTGAATTCATGGCCTTCGATGTAGTGTTGAAAATGCCGTACAGCACAATACATAGCTAGGAGTTCCCTACCGAATGTGCTGTACCTCGATTCGGTGTCTAGCAACCGTCTAGAGAAAAATGCTAAAGGTTGCCAGGAGTTATTAACCCATTATTGTAAGACTCCTCCGATTGCTGAGTCGGATGCGTCTTCTGCAATGCTAATGGGTGCTTCAGTGTCCTGATGAGCAAGCATTGTTGCTTTAGCGACAAGTTCCTTAATTGTGGAGAATGCTTTTCGTGCGGTGTCGTCCAGATTGATGGATTTCGCATTTCCACGAAGTTGGTTGATAAGAGGTTTCATAAGTAAAGCGCATTTAGGTATGAAAAGTCTATAGAAACTTACGAGGCCGTTAAACGTGTGTAATTGCTTGACGGTGGTCGGTTCTGGGTAATCCAGAATGACTGCCACTTTGGTTCTAAGGGGTCCGATACCTTGAGTATCGATAGTGTGTCCCAGAAAGTCTAATGATTCGGTTCCAATTTGGCATTTCTGGACGTTTACAGTAATGCCATGTTTTTGTAATCGTTCGAAAACAAGATCCAGATGCTTGAGATGTGATTGTCTGTCCGGACTTGCGATTAGACAGTCGTCAACATACACATGTACGAGGTTGAGACCTCGGAAAACATCGTCTATGAATCTTTGGAATGTTTGAGCAGCGTTCCTTAGACTGAAAGGCATTCGCAAAAATTCATAGAGTCCGAAGGGAGTTATGATAGCTGTTTTCGGTATGTCGTCAGTAGCCATAGGGATTTGGTTATACGCTTTAACCAAGTCGATTTTCGAAAAGACATTCGTACCTTTCAAGGTAGCTGTCAAATCGTGAATGTGAGGCAACGGGTAACGATCGGGAATGGTTTTCGCATTCAATCGCCGATAGTCACCAGTTGGACGCCAATCGTTGCTGTCCTTTTTAGGGACCATGTGCAACGGAGATGCATATGGACTATTTGATGGTCGTATGATCCCTAAGTCTATCATGTGATCGAATTCGTTTTCCGCCAACCTTAGCTTTTCAGGGGCTAGTCGTCGTGCTTTAGAGAACACAGGTGGCCCTGTAGTCGTGATGTGATGTGTAACGTTGCTGGTTACACACGGTAGTTTTGGTTGCGTTTGATGAATCCCAGGATACTCATCGAGTAGTGGTTGATAAAGTGGGTCTATCGTATGCTTACTTGTGACTGGGGATAATCTGCAACCAGAAAAATTTACGCAAACGGATAAATTAGTGTTTCCGTCTGCTAGCCTCCGTTTGCGAGTATCGATGATTAGACTATGGTGTTGTAGAAGGTCTGTACCAATGATTGGCATAGAAACATCTGCAACAACGAAGATCCAGTGAATGGGTTTGCGTAAACCCACGTTAAGGTAAACGTACCTTTTGCCATACGTAGCGATAGGCTTTCCATTTGCCACCCGTAAGTTTAAAACAGATTCGTGAAGCCGGTCGTTAGAAGTTGCTGGAAGAACGCCAACTTCTGGGCCAGTATCGACGAAGTAGCGAACTATCATTATCACATATGTGACGCACAACAGACGGCTATATTCGCCGGCTACGGTTGCCGTTAACGCGTGCCGGCTTGGAAGTTTCCCGAGTTGTTTTTCGTGTCGGTGGGTTTTGAGTGTGGAAAACTGCAGGGTTTTCTGCAATTTCTCGAAGACTTTCCATACTGGTTATGATATCAGCACCAGTCGGCGTTATCCGTCTCTCGTGGTCTCGAGACAGATCGCTTACGTGAAGTGCTTCTACGTGGGGTGTGTGATCGCTTACGGTCGTTACGAAAATTAAGATAACGCGTAAGTGTATGACATAACTCTGTTATGTCATTCTGGGCCGTTCGAGGCTTTTCTTTGACTGAAAATCCTCGGTATAAGAATATTTTGTGATTTCTAAAATGCGGTCGCCAGATGCAGCTAGCTCGTCTAAGGCGTTGTTGTGAAACGAGACCAGAACCGCTTGCACCTGTTGAGGAAGTCTTGACAAGAAAAGTTGTTTGAATAGGCCATCATCGAAGGTTCTTTGGCCGATAACCTCTCCCATTCGTTGCAACATGTCTGTCACAGAACCGTGTTTCAGATAGATGTTGTTAAGGAGTTTATCTAATCATGGTCGATCGATTAGGTCTCTGCGTTTAAGAATAAATCGTTTAAGTGTTTCGTACGGTTCCGAAACATCAACATTAAACATACTAATTGCGACGAACCTGTTAAATTTGAGTGGTAGTGCCCTTACACATATGTCGTTCACGCCGTGCTCGTAGAAGTTGGAGTTTTACAACGCTCTAACTATTAACACCTTCGAATATGAATCGTACCCACCAAGTGAAATCAAAAGTCAGAAGCGAGGAGGTTCGAAGAAATATTTGATATACTATCAATATTTCGAGAATCGACTGATCCAGACTGGCTAGTGATTGAAGGGGATGCTGAGCATGGCGTTCCCACTCGTGATCTGGTGCGGATGCGTGACCGAATGCCGTCAGCTTGGTGATTCCATTAAAACTAATGAGGTCAGGATCCAATGTCGTAAACTTACAGAGCTATTAATTTTGGGGATTTATTTACCGCTGCACTATTCAGCCTGTGATTTTAACTTTTTTTTGTCATTCTAAGGGCCATCTTTAGTAGAAGTAGAATGATATACCTTTCGTAGTTAACTACAATATGACGTCCTAATGAACTGAATTTGAAGACTGAATGGATTCATTTCTCTCGTTTTGGTTGGTCCGTCTTCTGATGTATGATGGTTATCAGAGTTCAATCAATAGGTTTACGTATGAATAATAGATAACCTTATGGCCGATTGATATCATACTATTGACTTTATTTATAATTACTGTTGTCATACAAGGCAACAAGTGTGGTATTACAAGAATCAACATGTTAAAGAAAACCGTGGTCTTTGGTAGAAAAATACTAAAAAGATTGACTTTTATTGTTGATGTACACAAAAGATTGATCATCCGACATAACACTTGAAATTACAATACAACTAACATTATATTATATTTACACAAAGATAAGTGAAAGTGAATACAAACATGATTTGTGATAGGATCAGAAACAGCTCCCTTGGATTTTTTAAATACATGCTTCATCAGCTAGATGATAAACTGTCAGCTAAATATATTTTGCTTAGATTTCCATGAATTTCTCATGCTTAGTTAAGGTACATTTCGGTAATGCACCACGTTAGCAGTTTATAACATAAATAAATGCGACAATTCATGTCACTAGATCGATTAGCATTGATTCAATGTTTATATGATGTATTCCTACCGTTTTACACTTGAAGCCAAATTCATTTAAACACTTTCAAATAGTTTTTTTCACACTGAATCATCAGTGATTAGTAATCAATCTCTTGTTTATGTTGTCCTTAGTAATGATTGAATTTGATCGATTAAGTTAAAATGTGATCATTATTAGTTTGAAAGTCTCGACATTGTGAAACTATGTCTTTATCTCGAATCGTTGAGTTGAATCTGCTACATGAATTAATTCAGTAGTAATAAATCTTACTGTTAGAATAAGTAACAATGGTTCATATCATATCGAGAAGCATCAGTTACCTCGAGATGACGGATATAATTTCCTGATGAGTGTCGACTAGCACGAAGCCTAGATGTAAGACTCATGATTTCCTCAAATAACCATGCCTCAGTTCAATTCCAAATTTTGCATAATGAAATTTGAGTTCTTTCGGTATATCCTTAATCACACTATTGCTACTGAATTTATGATTACTTTCATTCATGTATTTACTTTTCTGTAAGCAAATAAACTTCACCGTAATATTGATCCTTTTAAAATAGTTACGAATGACAGGAAAACACTAAGAATTGACTTATGAGACTTCCATTTATTTAATAGATTTCACTGTACACCTGAAGTACTTTTTTATAGTTGGTACTCGAAGTGATTTCTTAACTAGGAAAACACCAGTCAAGGTCATAATTCTTGTCATGTAAATAAATCCAATGCCATAGTGACGGAACAATAATCAATGAAAAGGTGTTAATAGTTGTAAATATCTACTCAGTTGAATCTCATCGGTTTAAATTTATCCCATCCATTAATTTTTATTTTGTTCGTTCTATCTTCATCTAGACTAAATGATAATTGGACTAGAGAATATAAGTGATTCCAGGTCATTAATGAGTAAGATTCCCAAGGAAATATTTATTTTGGTTGTGATAATACTCTACACATTCAATACTATATATCTAAATACGGTAGAGTTCTTAATAGAGAATATCACGACAAAATTCTCTAACACTATAACAGTGAAGAAAATTTTAAAAATAAACATATTTTCCAAAATGTGTTACTATTCAAATGCGAAACCATACAAAGAAATAAAACAACACTTGACAACACAGTAAAAATTTTGATCTTGTCAAATTACTGAGAATGGAGAACATTAAACAATCACACGTTAAGACAAGGATCATATAC